AAAAAAAAAAAAAAAAAAAAAAAAGAAAAACAGCCTATAATAATTTTTTTTTATATAATGACTGAACTACTATAAATCCACAAGCAACTGTTCAGACACAGTGCCTCCGAAGTGGTCCAACCCCTCCTCTTCCCCGGCCAGGCGCAAGCTGCGTCCTGGGGAGAGGTGGAGGGGAAAACCTCTTCCCCACCTGACTCAACTCAGGCATCAGGAGACAAAAAACCATCACTACTGCTGAGCTCCTGCGGCAGCTGGAACTGGCATCCCCAGGGTGTTGGTGGCAGAAATCACTGGCGAGCCTGCTAAGGGTCCAAGGGGCGAAGGTGTTGGCACTGAAGAGATCCCTGAAACAAGACAGCTTTGTGTGACTTAGAGCAGAGGTGGCAGATAAGACAAAAAAATAAAAATAAAATCAGTGAATGCATATTTAGAGGCCAGAGGTAACATTGCTATATTCTCACGGCTTTCAAAAGAACAAGCGGTGCCTAAAGAGCTTTCACTGGTCTCCAAGCTCTGGAGAATCCATGGCCAGGGCAGACATTACACTTTTATTGGTAAAGGTGATCAGAAACCAGTCTATATCCATAACAGAAGCTTGGCTCACAAAACTGGCCTACACCCATAACAGAACAGAAGTTCAGCACACACAGACTGGTTTAAAAATGGTGGAATCAAGTCTAAGACTTGCCCCTCCTACCAAAGGGCAAATGGCATTTGTTCACTACTGACCTAAACTACACTGCTTACAGAAAACCATGCAACTTAAATCAATTTTGCCATGGTTTTTTTTAAATGCGTGTACCTAGTCCGTGTTTTTAAGGACCTATTGTCATCTGACAGCAGATGCACAGCTCTGTGACCACTGCCCCTATAGACCTACACCTTTCAAACCTATCCCAATGGCATTTACTCCTGGGGAACTTCCATCTTTTGAACAGGCAGGAACCAGTCAGGTTAAGCTGCAGTGAATCAATAAGCAGATCTTCCCCCTTTCCCTCCAACCCTTTGCAACTCCCCCCACACCCCGCTACTTATCAGCTCACACCCTGGGGCTGTAGGCTAGAAGCATCAGGTATAGAATTCAGCCCTGGTCCCTTCCTGTGCAGCACCTCTCAAAAGCAGCCTGCGCTGGAACTGACCTGACATCATACTGGCACTGCTGACAGGAGTGCTGCCTCCCGGCATGCTGGACGAGCCCATCCGAGCCTGGTCCTTCACGATGGGATCTGGAAGAACATACTAAGTTTAGGTTCTGGTTTGCCAGGCAGCACAAGGCCTGCATGCGGTGTGTGTATGCAGCGAATCACTGCAAGGCTGCACAACAGAGTATTCTGGGTATCAAATTCTGCCCTCTGCTTCACAAAAATGTGCTGCGTTTTCTGTGGGAACTGAAGCTATTGACCACTAATAAACTGCATTGGTACATCACTCTTTAGCCTCAACAAATGCTTGTAAGATAGTAAAAAAAAGGAGAGGGGCAAAAACATCCCCCAAGTTAGATGGGAATGGGAAAGAATTAGCAACTCAGAGAACTAGACTTCTCCCAAATGAACAGAGGAAGTTAAAAGGTTAATTCTACACACAGCCCAGGGCTTCATGCTTCACAGAGTGTCTGCACTAGAGCACAGCCTCATGGCAATACTTGTTTTGCATGTATTTCCCTTTTACAAACAGCACTGGAAAGAGAGTGCCAAAGTGCTCGTGAAAAGCATTTAACTTTAACAGAGGTGCTCAATCTCCAGCCTGCGGCCCAAATGCAGCCCACGGAACCATAGGTATCCAGCCTGCGGGGTTGCCCGTGGATCAGGAAATTTGATCACAAGGGAGCAGTGGCAATAAATAAAGGTCCCCCTGTTCTGCTGCCAAATTTGCAAACCGAGCCTCACGTAGCAGGTTGGGACCAGGTCATGCCCCCCCCCTACTCCCACAGCTGGATGAGGCGAGGCCATGCCCTCTTTCCCTGTGGGGCGGGGTTAGGGGTGGGCCGTGCACCATTTCTCCCCATGTAGGGCCAGGTTGGAGCCAGGATGCCCTGACCCCCTCTGCTTGGCCGGATGGGATCCTGCCACGACTGTCTGCTGCTGGATTGGGACCTTGAACCTGGATCCAGTCGGCAGATGGCCTGGGCATTGCCCATCTGGCTTGCCGGCCAAAAAGATTAAGCTCTACTGAGTTCAAACACTTGCCAAAAGCAAACTGCAAGTAATTTATTTTACAGTGCAAAAAATTTCAGCTCACACTGATGATTAATTCCACAAGTCAATCTGACACTACAAGAAGGATGTGACTGGTATATGGCTAAGATAAATATTTGTAATTCAGACTGTTGCAAATTTCCATGAAAAATCTGCAGACCAAGAATTATTTGGAGAACAAATCATCAAACAGGCTTGAACAAATAAGCTTGAGAACTTTGCCATATGCTCAAACAGAAATTAGAAAAAAAATTGAACATACTATTCACTCGGCTACACATTTAGCAACAAAAAAGGACAAGGCAGATCTGTTACCCAACAAGGCACATTCATCTGGTTGTACTGAAACATAGATGAGGAATCAGGCATCTGTGCTGAAATCATCACAAGGCTGACACCAAAGCAGCCTCACTAAAAGGCTTCATTACCAGGGCAGCTGACTCACTGGACTGACAGTGGCATTCAGAGCACTCACTCGTGCTCTCCTGGGAGCACTTTCCCTTTCTCAGCACTAGTCCAGGCTTGTTTAAGTGGTGAGGGCGTCATCCCATCTTCTAGAGTCAAACACAGGCAGTCCCAGAGGTCAGCCTCATTTTACAGCATTCCTCACAACCACAGAGATCAGCACAAACCAGAAGAAACTGCCATGGCAGGTGGCAGAAGAGCAGCTCAAACAGCAGCAAGACAGGGGGCAGCATATACTTACAGAAGTAAGGGTGTTCCATGGCTTCTCTAGCTGTCAGTCGTGACTGATGGTCATACCGCAGCAGCTTGTCTAAGAAATCCAGAGCTTCTGGGCTCACCAAGTGCTGATTCTCACTGTGAACAAAGCGCTCCCATCGCTTACGGGAATGCCTGCAGACAGAGAGAAGACAGATGAAGGGAGAATGACAGACCACTGCTGAATGGCTTCCAATTTACTGATTTTTAAACAAGCCTGCTGGCCAGGTTCTGTGCCCAACCGATACCCTTGCTATTCCAAGAGACACCAAATGTGACAAAACCACCGCTGCAGCACAGCTTTCCACCGCTTGGTGGCACAACAGTCACAACTCTTTTCAAGCCCCTGGACTCAGGCTGTGAGATTGTAATTTCCAGGAGTTAAACCCCAGCATCATTTTCCTATTGTCTCCTTCACATGGAGTTTGTTGTTTGGTGAGCATCACTGCACTAGTCAACACTTCATAGGACAAATCCACCTACTCCTAAGTGCCAAATTGCTATGCTAGAATTCACGGAGACAAAGATGCTGGCTTCTCCACCAAAATATCCAGGTGGAAAGTGGCAGCATTTGCTTAGTCATGCTTCATCACCTGCTGTCTATTTAGTGCCTAGATGACATCCTGAAGTTTAGCATCTGTCCTTGATTACATCTGCAAAAGGGACCGTCAGTGGCAGGACTACTATACTGGACCAGGCACATGAAAGTATCCCTTGCTATGGAACCCAGCATCGCTTTCTTTCCAAGACAGTGGCCTGGGTCTAAACAAAAAATCCTGTTGCCGGAAGACGAGCTTACTTGGCCTACCAAGGGATCAGAGATCATATGCAATAGGTCTTGGCTAACCTGCCCAAGATGTCATTGAAACGTGGATCCAGCTCAATGTTGTATTTGTCGATGTAGTCATACAGGTCTTCTGTCCCCAGCACCTTGGCTATCCTCACCAACTAGGATCAAACAACAGAAAAATACACCATCACAGAAGGAGGAGGATGAGCTAGACCCAGTATGAAAAAGCCATCATTTTGCCCTTTACTTAGCCTGAGCAGTATTCAAGAACACCGAAACTGGATTCTGGGATGGCCTTGTGGCTCCCAGTTGGCAGGCTGTGAAGGAACACAGACATTGCAAAGATACCCCAATGGCTAGTATAAAGCAGGCAGAGCAGTCAAGGGGCCATGTCATCTGGTCCCTGGGGCTTCACAGGTCCAAAATTTCACAGCAGGGGAGCTGCTGCACTGTCAATTGCTGTGGCAGAGCCCATAGCTGTGGGAAGTAATACAGCCACTGCTCCCCCACTGTCAAATATCCAGATCTGGCAGGGGGAACCTTCCTCCAGTCTTTTGCACTGGCCAGAATTCCAAACCTGAGGCCCGAACCAGGGTGCACTGAATGGAGACTAGCACTCACCTGATCGTAGTTGTCATGGCCATGGAAAAATGGCTCCTTTCGGAAGATCATACTGGCCAGCATACAACCCAAGCTCCACATGTCCAGACTGTAATCATACATCTGCAGAGAAGCAAAGGCATGATTTAGTCTTTCTGGTCAGCTAACTCCTTGAGTGACTCCTGTGTTGAAGAGAGAGGTTTCCTTGTGATGCACAGGACAACTGACCAGGCTGAGAACAAAGAATGAAACATGCTCACTCAACTTAATCATTACTGCTTGAGTCAAACTCCAGCTGTTCAGAACAGGATGTAGTAGTTAATATAGAATAGTGGCAGGTGTTTT